AAAAGTCACTTTTTATCATTAAATTTACTATTTTCCTTCAAGGAAATAGTTTCACAAAAGGACCAAACGATTGTTTTCCTCCTGCTCTTGGATGAATGCTCATAGATGAACGCAATATATTATAATCAATCTACAACATTTTTAATTGAATGTGTTAATACATTAGGAAAAGGACAAAAGTCTTATCCATCTATAAAAACACTGTATTTAAGTTAATAAACTTAAAGCAATAAAAAAGCAAATACATCAGACTAAATAAACAAAGACTTACCTTGGGGACACACTAACAGATTAGGTCTTCCTTTCTGCAAACAGGTTTCAGGGAATGTCCTTTCGAGTTTGACTGGTTCTAGAATCAGCACATTAATACAAAAAACGAAAATACATGTAAAACTGTAAAATCAGTTCTCCAAGCTGGTACACATACAGACATTTAACTAGGAAAAAAAAGAAACAGATTTACTGACATCAAGGCATAACAGATGGCTAAGGTTTAAGAATTCTAAAAAAAAATTAGCAATTATCACCTCATCAAGAGATATTGCCTGTGTAAAATAAGTGCATGTTTCCGTGTCTGTATATAATATTACTTAAATATCAAAGTTAAATGGAACTCAAGTTAGTAATACCTAGACGTGCAAGGTGAGCCAACATCAGACCTAGATGCTCAATGCTAAGGTAATCAGAGACACTTGTAGCAACCTTCCCAAAGAAATTCCCCCACAGCTCTTCTAACTGGTCTTTCAATGAGCTTAAAAATCAAAATTAAATGAAGATCAAAATTTGAAACTTACAGTAACAATGAGTCCAGTTACTTAGTAAACTAATATAATACATATTCACCTTAAATCCTTCTAATAACAATCATTTAGAGAGTGCATAAAAAAAGTTACTAGCAAAAATCAGAAATTGACAATTACAGGCTATTGGAACTAATATGATCAATTTAACCTTTTTTGTTTTTTCCCCAATGTAGATTGAAGCAATTCTGCAGCCAAAGTGCCCATAGACATTCCAGCACTGAGTCTGGCAAAAGTCAGGTCAACTTCTTCAATATCTACTTGATGGTCTTGACCTGCAGGGGTACATGTTGTGGCTTGCAACTGTCCTCTCTGAAAAGCATCCCAGTTGTCCATACACCACAATAACCCTGAAAGAGATTTAGGTTAAACGTTTAAAGCAAATGTTAAACTGGCAATGTATTGGCACTTCTTTTACCATAAAAAACAAAACCTCTTAATACTGGACTTGGATGTTATTATGACACAAGCTGACATTGAGAATGGTACCATATATGATTGGATCTGTCATTGGAGACCAAACAAGTCCTGAAAGGCAGAATAAGCCAACCCAGAAGTTAAGAGGCACAAAACATGATCAGCCCACGTGATCACTGACACTTGTTTCCCTGTTTAAGTTTGGTGGTATCAAACACAACGTCAGATCCTTGCATTATTATTTTGTTAAATCAGTATCAGTTCAACTTTTTCCTTTATAGTGACATCACTCTCCTAGATGAATCAGAACATTCATTTGTGATACTGGTTTGTCTTAAAAAGACTTAATATACCTTCATCAACATCCTCAGGACCACAGTTTTGAAGGGCCATGAGGGCAAGGTTTTCTGGATAACCTGCTTCTTTCACAGCTTCAAGAAAAGTCTCCACTTTCTGTTTTTCCTCAACATCATCAGGCATTTCACTTGCATAGGGCAGCTCTTCAGTCATTTCAGCATCGTTCTGCTCCTCTGTGTTTCTCTGTTTCTCCATTTCTTGGAGATCCTGAACAGCTGTCTTCATCACCTTCAATAGATCCTGCTTAGTGGAGTTTGCTTTCACATTGTGGAGCATAGGATAGATCAAATCTGATGGTCTTTGACCCTCTAATCCCAGTTTTGCCATCTCTCGTCTGAGGATCACAAGCTGCTCTGTGGTGAAGAAATTCAACTCATAGTAACTGCACCTTTGTTTTTCTATATACTTAAGCCAGTCTTCATAGCAATTCTCCATGAATTCACACAACTCTCTAATTTGTGTGCTTAGGCCTTCCTCTTGTAATCTGTCAGGTTTGCCTCGAAGTTCTTGTTCTGCTAAACCAAAGCTAATTATGGTGCTCCATGGTTTTGTGAGGTCGCAGAAAAACTTTGATGTCCAGTCATTAAAGAGGACACTTCCTGCAGCACAGATTTTCAAGTATGCCTTTGCAAGGCGGCCTATGGCATCAAAAACCTAAAACAAATAATTTGTTTGCTATTTTAACAGTCATTCAAGTAACTATTAAGCAAACAAAATAACATGGAATGCAGCATACATGTACTTAGTAGGTTAACCAGTTAATTTTAAAGGGATAATTACTCTTCGTATGAGATCTATATTTCACAATAAAAACATTGTGAACAACTCACAGAAGTAAAATATATTCTGTTGTACCACAACAACAGCAGTTATAGCTATTATTCTGATATCTGAGCTTGTCTTTAGACCACATGACCTCCATTGATGGCTATACTCTGTTAAAATCTCTTAAGAGATTTTAACAAAAAAACAAACTTTTTAGAAAAAAAACCAGGGTCTATCTTTGAATGTATACTGAACAAAAATATAAACGCACGAAACTAAAATGGTCAGTTGAAATGGATAATCATGAAATATGCCCAGGTTGATGGTTTATTTGTAAACTGATGGATTTGTTTTGATCAATTATAGTGGTCTGGTTTCACTTGGCCGCTCCCCGTGAGTATACTCAAAGGTTTTTACACCCATAAGACTAATGGAGCATGACGGAGTAGAGGTCAATCTGTAAGACCAATACTCAGACACTCTTTACCGTCTAGGCAATAAAAGGACACACCAAAATGTGTATTTCTGCCACTTGTCAACATGCCACAGATGTCTGAAACCATGAAGGAGCATGCCATCAGTATGCTCAATGCTGGCTTGTCAGTAACAGAAGTTGCAGCATGCCTGAATGGCATCATTCCATTGTCAGCCGTCTGGGAACATGCTTCAGAGACACTGGTAGCATTTGGAACCACCCTCATGCACCATGTCGCCCAACAAACACCTGTAGAATGTTCTGGATCAGAATTTTCAGCCATCATGTTCCAGCTCTCGAAAATGTTCGCCAACTGCAAGAAGCACTCCAGGAGGAATGGGATAATATCCCTTAGGCCTCTATTGACAACTTAGTGATGTCCATGCGCCGCTGGTGTACTGCTCTGCACAAACTTAATGGTGTCTTTGAACTCAGGATGTTGACCCCCATGGTATATTTGATGCCCTAACTCTTGGACTATGCATTTAAACTTCCCCTAATGCTCTCAAAGTGATGTCTATTTGTCGAGAAAAATATGCTGTTATTTTTGGCTATATACTCTAGTTCCATATATGAAAATAAATCTACATATTCTTTCGTGTGTTTATATTTTTGTTCGGTATATAAATGGATTCATTAACCATTGTAAGTATGGGAAAATTGTTGTTTACTCCAGGAAAATTCATTTTTTGGTCAAAACGAAGAGTTATTATCCCTTTAATCATACTGCATCATATTACCTCTTATACTAATATATCAGTGAATATATAAGTTGCTGCTTGCATTCAGCCACTTCATTGACATCATAACCAAGTTACAAATCTCAGTTAAAACTTCTCAGCTTTACAAATCTTAGTATACTCAAATATCACTTTATACATGTTGTTCCTGTTATATATATACAGATGAAAGGACAAAAACCTTGAACAATTTTATTATTGTACAATGTACCTCTACAAACTTGTCCACTTCAGCTTTGCTGTGGTCTACTTTCCCAACTTTTCCTGCTACTAACATCAATTTACTTTGGAGGTCATTAAGCTTCTCAAAAGTGTATTCTACTGGTCTGTCATCTTGAAAGTCCACATCTTCTTCATTTCGTTTTCCATATGCCCTTGGGTCAGGTGGAACAACTAATTTTATAGTGTTCCCCATGGTCTAAAATAAAACAGTAAATCATATTTATAACAATATGTATTTGATACCATTTGAAAGAAATGTCCATTACCGTACATAATGTCACAAGACACTTTTGTAGCACATGCATATATGTACTTGTCTCTCTTCATGAATATATTCATACAATAAGGACAAATAAAATGAAATGAACAATATTTTTGTATCAAATGTCATAAGCTTGAAATGGCAAAGTGCAAATTCAGAAGTATAAGAAAAATCTAAGTTCATACTTGTTTATAAAATGATTATGTTTGAATACACCCAACAAAACACACCCATGTTTTACATAAAAGTTTTATATAAATTGAAACATTCTGTCATTATAGTCAGAAACTTGCCTACCTTTGGCTGATCAGGTCTTACGTTTCCAACTTGATAAATGCCTCTGGAGTTGATAGCCTCAGCCTGAGCCAGTGAGGAGACCTCTACTGATCCATGTGAATCCTTGATCATCTTTACCCAGTCCAGGTGTCTCATTGTGTCTCTCTAGAAAAATATTGTTTTCAGATAACTGCTTTAATGTATGGGTGCCAGTTGATGAATTAAGCTATACTAAAAAAATAATAAAAATAAAAAAGTAGCATGACCTTTAGCAATACCCAAATCAACAGCACATTTTAGAAAAAAACTTTCAGGAAGCACCCTATAAAACCTATATTAAACAATACTTACCAACTTCACAGGCAAATGCTTATCATTGTCTAGGGCATTCCACACCAACTCACACTGATGGAGAAACTGATGAAAGTCACAATCTGTCTGGACTTCATAAATTAGAGGCGCAAAGCCTATTGCTGCATCATGCAAAATGGACACCCTGTCAACCTCCATGTCTGTCTCTCCTGCTTGAATCATGGCAAGTTCCACCAATACATTCAGTTCTTTGGTTCCTAACAACAGATTTTTTTATTTTATTTTTGAAACCTTGCAAACACGTTTTATCCATAATCATAATCATATTCCAGACTTAGGCTACCACAATTCTGAAATAAACTTTATAGCAATGTACATCTTCCTTAACATATGAAATCCCAATTGGTATTTGAATGGTTTCATTAAATATAACTTATTACAATTTATATTTAAATTCTAAAATGTCACATATTGTGTAATATATATCTAAGAGAAATGGTTCTCAATACAATGAACAAATACCTTTGATGTTTTCTCTTAGCCAGTTAACAAGTGGACTACACTTAACAAAATCTTTAATACAGTCAGACTTTGTGTTGTCCACACGGATCAAAACCTTTCCTGCATCCACCACTTTGCTATTGATAGAGCTCAATTGGTTTTCTTTTCCTGCACCCTACATTTAAATAAAATTTAAAAACTTAAATCATTGAAATGACCAAAGATATAATGATATCAGTAAGGTTAAATCAGTATGATGGATCTTTTGGGTCCCCTAGATTGAAACAATAATGATTCAGTTTACCAGTAAACTGATAACTGTATAACGTAAAATTAAAATCAGATAAATGAGAAGAAATAAGCAATCACAATCAATTAGAAAAAGCATATCTTCAACCAAATTGACACTGAACAGAATAGTTAAGATGTTAATATGAAAAGAAATGCAATTTGGAAGCAATTTGTGAAAAGAAACAAACTATGCACTGAATTATCTTGATGTGAACATTTTATTATTAATGCTTACTGCATCAACAAGAATTTCTATGAGGCTGAAGTCACCAGTCAGTCCAAGCTCTTTCTTTGCATCCATCATGACTTGTGCCCCATAACGATACTCATGAAGTTTGTGATACTGTTTGACCTGGTCTAGTCGACCATCTATCCACCTGGCATCTTCTAAAATATTGCCCATCAGATCAAACTCATCTTTGAGCTCAGGGTACTTATCCTTGAAAGAAGCAAAATATTCATCCATCTGACCAAAAGTGACAGTGCCCAGTTTGATAGACTTGGCCAGGTTCTCCCATGAATGGAAAGCTTTCCCCCAGACTTCAGTTGCAACTTCTTGAAGTGACAGTACATCTGTTTCTTCATCTGTGCCTTCTAGTTTCTCTTTGTGGGCGATTGATCCAAACTCCTTCCAGAAGCGTGTAAATATGTGACTGGTGTGGATTTCTTTCAAAGGCATCATCATGTCAGAGACTTCAGAAGGCTGATCAAAGAAAGTGATAGCTGGCTGCCAGTTTTGTGTTACATCAGGATGCATAATGTAAGGCTCACAGATATCACTCAGATCTCTGCAGCTTATGTCCTGTCGGAGTCTGCGATCTAACGCATCAGTGTTCACTGAAACATACAGCAAATGATCATCATTAACCATAACATCAAATGATACATTACAAAATGATCTGATGTTTAATCATGTAATACAATGATTAATCACCTAGATTTAAAGAAGCATTAAAATAGCAAAGTCTCAATAAAGTTTTAGGCAGCTCAGCTACAACGTTAACATCCTGGGCAGATTCAGAGAGGGTACACAAAATCTGGTTGACCTCCCCTTTTACCTGGTATTTTTTAGATAAAAAATCATTCTCTTCATTTACATCCCCACCCCTCCAACCTCTCTAGGTAACTGGTTTATTACAACCAACAATGGTACAAACATTTCATGAACTAAGCAGCAAGAAATTGGTTCGAACACATTTGCAAAGCTAGGAAATGGTGGAAATAAGAAAAAAATAGTAAAAAAAAACAAGGCAGCAAAGCTGTCAAATGTACAGACAAAAAACAGAAAATAAAGATGCAAAAAAGGTCATTTTGTCAATTTTGATGCAATAATAAATAATGCTTATAATAGCACTGTCAATCAACACTGAATTTTAATCATGCACAACAGGTAACATGCTCAATAACAGGAGCAGATCCAGAGGTATTTTCTGACAGTATTCCAAACTATATTTGTTGATCCATCCTACAATTTTGTTGGCTTTCCAACAGAAAAAAAATTGATACCAGTCAATGTAAACTTTAAAATCTGACCGTCATCTGAAAGACCCAGAAGACGGCCTCAATCCACCCCTGCAATAAGATTATAGTTTCTGGACCATGAGAGTTCAAATTCATATAATGAAAATCCCAATATTTGAAAAATGTTGACAGTGCATAAAATAATGTTACATATTGTTTAAAGACATAAAAACCTATGCAACTGCTTATGTGGAAATACAGAAAATCTGAAGAGCTTCAGGTGGATGGGAGTTGAAAATGCCAGTGTTTAGAAAATAATTAAAAAGAAAACACAAATAAAAAAAATATATTCCAATAAAGCTGCTATTCAAACTTTTAATCTTTCTGTATTAACATGATATGAATAATCCCAATGTGTTTGAGGATAATAAGGCACTGTTATTCATCTATAGCATTAATGTTGGCATTGCACAAATTTTTTTTCTTTTGTAAACTTATTTGCAATATTAAACAACATTTACCTGCATAATTATCACCAATTCCTAATTATGTGACACAGTTAAGAGAGCTTAACCTATAGAAAATGGGTCATTTTGTCAATTTTGATGCAATAATAAATAATGCTTATAATAGCACTGTCAATCAACACTGAATTTTAATCATGCACAACAGGTAACATGCTCAATAACAGGAGCAGATCCAGAGGTATTTTCTGACAGTATTCCAAATTATATTTGTTGATCCATCCTCCACTTTTGATGGTCTTCCAACAGAAAAAAATTGATACCAGTCAATGTAAACTTTAAAATCTGACCGTCATCTGAAAGACCCAGAAGACGGCCTCAATCCACCCCTGCAATAAGATTACAGTTTCTGGACCATGAGAGTTCAAATTCACATAATGAAAATCCCAATATTTGAAAAATGTTGACAGTGCATAAAATAATATTACATATTGTTTAAAGACATAAAAACCTATGCAACTGCTTATGTGGAAATACAGAAAATCTGAAGAGCTTCAGGTGGATGGGAGTTGAAAATGCCAGTGTTTAGAAAAAAATTAAAAAGAAAACACACAAAAAAAACAAAAAAAAAAAAATTCCAATAAAGCTGCTATTCAAACTTTTAATCTTGCTGTATTAACATGATATGAATAATCCCAATGTGTTTGAGGATAATAAGGCACTGTTATTCATCTATAGCATTAATGTTGGCATTACAAAATTTTTTTTCTTTTGTAAACTTATTTGCAATATTAAACAACATTTACCTGCATAATTATCACCAATTCCTAATTATGTGACACAGTTAAGAGAGCTTAACCTATAGGACTTGAATGGGAAATCTCAACGTGTGTTTTATGTAATCTTATTTAATGGGCACTTGAAAATCAATTAGGCAAGTAATTTTATAGCTCTGAATTTAGCTAGTGATTATCCCAAGGGACAATTACCACCATCCATAAACAGTAGCCCCATATAGCACTCCATAGAGCTGCATTGCTTCCAAAACAGAAAACAATCACACTGATTTCCAACACAAGCTACACTTCAGTCCTATGAAACTTTTCAGTAAGTTAGAATATCATAAGTAAAATGGTTTTTCCTTAGTGGTCATCCCAGCAGCGATGTCCAAAAAAGGTTTTTTTTCATCTTTTACGCAATTTAACATAATGCTTAACAGCACAATGGCCATCAATTTTTAATAATAAAGTAAATGTATCATAGCTATTCAAAAGATGTGACTAGCAATGGTATTCAAGCCAATGGAAGTTCAAAGACTAAGTCACACCTTGAAAATGTCCATATGTGAAAATTTTAATTGTAACAAAAAACTATATAATTTCCAAGAAAGTTAACCGATATAACAGGTTTTCCAACTGAAGCTATAATTTAGTGCTATGCTGCATTTCTGTAAGTTTGAGAAGAGTAAGTGACTTGGTTTTCCTTTAATGGTCACTATGGAGGCATTGTCTAAAATGGGGTTGTCTTCAATTTTGATGCAATATTACATAATGCTTAACAGCATAATGACCATCAATTTTTAATAATAAAATAAAAGTATCATGGATATTCAGAAAATGTGACTAGCAAAGGTCTTCAGGGCCATGGAAGTTCAGAGTCACAACTTCAAAATGCCAAAATGTACACAAGAGATAACTGTACTGAAATGAATTTCTTTCCACTTTCAACCCTTTTTTTACATATATCAAAATAATCAATTTACTGTTGTTTTTAAATGATCAACTAAGAAAGTTGTTGACATAGGAAAAATATCAATAGAACAATTTTAAATGTCCAATTTGTTCCATTCTGAGATTCTGAACATGGTGAATGATTGAATCTGACAAACTGTAAAGATATGAGTTTATTTCCATTTTTGACACTTTATTACAAAATGCACAATAACAGGTTTACCATCTTTTTTTTTATAATCAACTAACAATATTGTTAAGATGCAGAAAATGTCAAAAGAACACCTTTACATTACTAATTAGTTCACAAATGAGATTGTTAACATGCCTGAGAATTAAATCCGAGGAAAAAAGACTTATATACAAAAAAAAGGCACAATTTCACCAAAACTGAACCGATCAAGCTTATTTTCGAACCTCATCTGTATTTTAGTAAATCTGATCACCCCTGTGAATTTCAAGACAATTGGCCGATTGATTTTCCTTGAAATGTGTTATCGGTGTTGCACATATGCTGAAATAGTGAAAAAACAGCATAACTTCCATAAAAATGGCCCGATCAGACTGATTTTCGAACTTGACCTGCGTATTATGAATATTCATCATTTCAAAAACTTATAAGCCAAAAAGTAAAACGATTTTTCGCTTATCGTGTTATCGGTGTTGCATTTATGCTGAAAAAAATGAATAAATGGCATAACTTCCACAAACATGGCCCGATCATGCTGATTTTGGAACTTGACCTGCATATTAAGAATATTCATCAGTTCTGTAAGTTTCAAGCCAAAAGGTAAAACCGTTTTTCACTTATCATGTTATCGGTGTTGCATTTATGCTGAAAAAGATGAAAAAATAGAGTAACTTCCACAAATATGGCCCGATCATGCTGATTTTCGAACTTGACCTGCGTATTATGAATATTCATCGATTCTGTAAGTTTCAAGCCAAAAGGTAAAATGGTTTTTCACTTATCGTGTTATCGGTGTTGCATTTATGCTGAAAAAAATGAAAAAATAGCATAACTTCCACAAATATGGCCCGATCATGCTGATTTTCGAACTTGACCTGCGTATTATGAATATTAATCAGTTTTGTAAGTTTCAAGGGAAAAGGTAAAATGGTTTTCCACTTATCGTGTTATCGGTGCTGCATATATGCTGAAAAAAGTGAAAAAACAGCATAACTTCCCTACAAGTGACCCGATCATGCTGATTTTCGAACTTGACCTGCGTATTATAAATATTTATCAATTCTGTAAGTTTCAAGCTGAAATGAAAAACAGTTTTCCACTTATCGTGTTATCGGTAAAAGTGCACGCATCGACGGCGACGGCGACGACGACAGACGCAGGTGATGGCTATATGTACAGACACATCTGTGTCTGTACATAACAAAAATGCAGAAGATGAAAGAATGCCATGCATGCTAACTGTAGTGTTTCAAAACTGAGCCCATTTTCTGAAATCCTGGACCCATTCATATATTGCGAAATATAATAAAAATACAAAACCTGGTTGTATTCTTTTGCAGAGTTCTGAAAAAATTCCCAAGAATTGTTTGATGGACTCAAAAGCCTCCATTTCCTTTAGACGATGCTGAAGAATGATGTCTAACTGATCTACTTTGGATTGCTTCATTTCACTCTGGCCTGATTCTGATGATTTCTGGTGCTGGCCTTCTTGTAGGGCTTCTTTTTCAACATCTTCTATAATTCTGCACAGTCCCAGGAAGGAATCCTTGTTTTTCAACACTAATTCCAGCATGCAGATCTGAACAGTTCCATTTTCCACATCTTTCACAGTTTTGTGCAAAAGCGACGACACCTCTGCAAGTCGTATCTGACAATCTTCACTAAGAATTGCTGTCCTTTGCCTAGTACCTGGTTGAATATTAAAAATTCACATTACAAACATAAATATGCATGATAATAGGGTCTCAATATTCTAACAAGAGCTGTTTGTCAAACACAGACCCCCCTTGTTGGTTTAAATCTTTCTCAATTCATTGGTCAGAAGAAATTTTTGTGTTAAGGCCTGTAGGAGGATTAAATTGCCTTTAAATCGGTTTTTTTTTTTTAGTTTTTTGTTTACATTAATCAAAAAAGTATCTAACATTTGATGTAACAATGTTTTTGGAGTTTGAACAGCAAAATGTGTTTTTGATGAGTTTTTCAACAGGCACACACCCCAGTCAGATTGACGACTAAGCCATACCTCTGTTGCTATGGGCTGTTGCCATGAGGGGGCAGAGCAAAGTTAACGAGTTATGAGCCGATTACGTGTGTGGTAAAAGTTCATAAGTCTTATATCAGCTGATCAGTGAACAAGGCAAGTACGCTATGGGGAAGATAAAAGTTCGTAAGAAAAATGAATATCGAAAAGAAAATGAAAAGACACCAGTAACAATACTTTTAGGCATTAATTTTGGCGATATATATATCAGCGAGTGTTTCTGCGACACATTACGAAACCGGAAATATTTGACACCACTTCAAAAACGTGTTACGTCAGCTGTAAAACACAACATAGAATCTATTGATTAAAACTCATATTGACAAAAATAAGTTTTCTTCTCTTTCTTTGTATATATTAAGGAGCTTGAGAGACACGCAAAAAAAATTGTGATGGGAATGGCTTAATGAGAGAAATTCAAATGAAGTTGATTGCATGATTTGAAAAAAAAAATGCATGTTAGTGGGGTATAGCATTTTGCGATGTTTGGAGAAAATTAATTTCAAAATCACTCATCAGGCAGGAAGTAGGATTCGAAATGTAGACAAAAGATGTAACTCACAAAAAAGACCATGAGAATAGTCAAGACTAACCAGGTAAAAAGTAATTTGTATGATGTGTATTAAAAATAAAATATGGTAAAATCTTGAAAATTTCGTCGCTTAAAAATTCATTAAAATTTTCAATTGTGTATATTCGAAGATTTTCAAAATTACGTCTCCCTGGCAAAATTTTCAAAACTCCTTCCTTTGGGTTTTTACCCTTATCGGCTTTATCCTCGTCCCTCATATATTGTGGGATATTTATCACTACTTCCTAAGTCACTTCTGGTGGTAAATTATAATGTATTTTATTAGTGCATCTCGATTAAGTTATATTAACTCACCCAAAAAGTATGTGTTTAAAGGGGTTTAAAGATAAAATGAAAAAATACATATTATTTTAAAAATTCAAAGGGGGGGGGGAGGGGTTAAAATAATGAGCTCCCACTGATCTTCCATGAACGAAGTTCCTAAGTCCCATCTATAGAAAATTTCCCCATAATTCCTTCGGTTTGGGAGATATTTGGCATTTAATTTTGCAAATTTTGGACAAGGGTGCATTGCGATGAGTGCCACACCTAGACCTGTGCAGCAACAAAGTCCAAAATTTACATGGAATGAGTTGAGAATATACGTGACCTCAATCCAAGAGATGGGTGTGCAGGCTCTTGTAGTCTAGGAGAATTAGTGGTAACAGTGACATGGCAACCTACACATATTCCTGATGATAACAATTAAACTATTTAAATACAGGATAGGATAGACAGATGTGCAGGGTGGTATAATGACATGTTTCCCAACTTTCATAACAAAAGTGGAAGGCTTCCAAGTGTTATTGACTGTTGCAGCAAAGGTAATGACAAGAACAGAAACATCAAAATATTATTTTACAATCACCTCCATGACATGCATGATTAAGAATTGCAAATATGCAATTATATTTTTTTAGAATAATATCAGGCATTGACATACAAGAGAAAACTTTCTAATTTGGACTAAATATATCAAAGTTTGTAAATCAATATTCAACTTACGTAATATCCGGCATTTCAGATATTGAGGAAATGCTGGCCATGTAAAAGCATGCTGAAGAATATGAAGATCATCAGCTCCTGTTCTAGGCCAACTTTTGCTGAATGCATGAGAAAGCATGGACCCAATGGTGTAAGCATCTGTATGTCTGTAACTGGTAGTAAACAGGAACTGAATATCAGGGGCCTGAAAATGAATAATATTTTGAATATGGTAAAAAAAAATACTTAGGATAAAAAATATTTTTATACACATTTAATTCAAATATCAGTGTTAAAAAGGAAGCAAGTAAATCCTATCACTATATGTTCTAATCGTGTTATTTTCTGTACTACTTGCCCCCTTTGACATCACATCTCTAAAATCTCTCGCGTTCATTAGAAAACAAATTTAAACTACACAGGAAAGCTGGCAAATATACAGAAACCATACAGGAAACAAAGGCAGCACAGCTGACAAATGTTCAGACATTACGCACAAAAAGTGCACCTAATAATGTATTGGCTAATTTGGTACACTGTTTCATAATGCTTTAAAGCTTTAAGCAGCATTATCACTCTTACACTCTTACATTATGAAGTACAGGTAACATGGACATTGAAAAACTAGCAAATGATTCAGTTCAATGGGATATTAAAGCCACTGAAAATGCTAATGTGTGACAAAAAAAATAAAATAAATAAATAAATAAATAAAAATAAATATGTAACTAGAGGATCAGAGAGGCGATACCGCCTCCGAATATTGTACCACCAGCTGGAGTAAGCGCAATCGTACAGACCCCCACACACACAAAAAAGGGACACCACCACCAGTCTTGTGCTTGACAAGCTGTAAACAAGGCAGCAAAGCTGTCAAATGTACAGACAAAAAACAGGAAATAACTATGCACAAAATAGGCTACTGTCAATTCTGATGCAAAAGTACATTATGTTGAACTGCAAATTCAACATTAAATTTTAATTATGCTCAACAGGTAATACCAATGTAAGTAAAATGTGTAACAAGCATAAGGCTTCAGGCCCATGGGAGTTCAAGTTCACACTTTGAAATTGTATAACTTCCAGAAAAAGAAGCCAATTAGACTACTTTTCCAACTCAGGCTGCATTTTAGCCCTGTATTTCTTTTTTGAAAGTTTGGCAGTCATAAATAACATGGTTTTCCCATAATGGTCATCATGGCAGCAGCACCCAAAATTGTGTTTTCTTCTATTCTGATGCAATATTACATAATGGTTAACAGCATAAAGACCGTCAACTTTTGAAAATAAAATAAACGTATCATGGATTTTCAGAAAATGTGACTAGCACAGGTCTTCAAGCATATCTTGTGAAAAATTAA